GCCGTGCCCCCTGGCACCTGGGCATCGCTCTGGAGGCCTGAGCTGACAGCGGGGAAGTGCAGATCAACACTGTGGCTCCACCATGAATATGCAAGAGGGAATCCTGAGGTACGGGGACATAAGGGGACATAGGGGACAAGGGGCTGAAGGGGCTGCCGGGAGGTGGACAGACTGCCACCCAGGAGTCATGGCCTGACTGACCAGCTTCCCAATCATGTATTTTGTTGGCCTTGGACATCTCTGAGGCCAACAGAACGAAGGGAATAACTTCTCCAGGAGCACTAGTGTGCAGGCCTGGAAACCATCAGAGGCAGGCTCTGTCAGGCCAGGGTGGGTGACAAGCCCAAGACTGCAGAGCCAGCCCCTTAGCAGGCCCCCAGGAGCAGGTCCAGCTCAGAGTGTGGTGGGACCTACCCACTCCAGCCTGGGCCTGGCCTGTTCAGGGGCCTGGATTCTACCCTCGGGGCAGCTGTGTCTCAGACATATCTTGTTTCCAGGTACAGTCAGACCTCTGTTCTCAAATCTCTCCCACCTTAAACAATTTGTTTCTCGACCAAGTTGTTCACGGAAAAAAATGTCTCGGTTGTTGAACAAAACTTCAGTTCTCAACCCTGCAACCCTTTCATGCTGATACGTGTATGATCAGTCACATGTCTCTCAGGCAACAAACAAACAAAGGAGAGAATTCACGAGTATGAGTCAGTTTACCACTAAACTCGTGTTGTTAACATCTCAGGAAATTGTGCTGTGAATATTTTTTGTGTTTTTTTTTGCTTTTGTTGCTGCTTATTGTTATTAAATATGTACAGCAAGTCACCATAGGTTCTAAGAAGGTAGTGATGGCAGCAAAGTGAAAAGGAAAGTTGTGAAAACGATAGAGCTTTAAAAAAGAAAGAACTGTAAAGTATGATAGAGGTGTTTGCATGTCTGATCTGACTGCTGAGTATGGCGTAGCGAAATCAACACTTAGCACACCTTGAAAACACCTCTGACACATCATTTAAAATGTAAACAAACAGGTTAAAACAGAGTCCTTTGGGGGTCTGGAACCGATTAATTCAATTTACATTACTTCTAATGGGGAAAAATGATTCGGTTTTTGAACAAATCGCTTCTCGGACAGCCTTCTGCAATGAATTAAGTTCGAGAACTGAGGTTCCACTGTATTTGTCAGGAGTGCTTAGTTTGTTTTTAAGATTTGCTCCCCATGGCTAGGAGCTACATTCTGGCTGAAATGTCATCCAGAAGGGGTGGCTGCTGCCAGGGGCTGCCAAAGGCAGGGCAGTTGCTCTGGGATGTGGCTTCTCATAAAGGGATTTCACCCCTCAGTGCCCTGTGGTCACACCTGGGGCTTTTCCCTGCACATGTGAAAGGCCCAGCAGCACTGATCTACCCTCAAAGCCAACAGTGCCCCCACCGCAGCACCTCCGACGTTCAAGTTCACTACTGTCAAAGCCAAACTGTCTGCAAGAGCCCGGGATGGGGAGGAAGGGGGGCAGGGACCAGGGGCTAGGCAATGTGAAGTTCATCAATCTGGGCTCCCATCTCCCCCAGATTTACAACGAAGGGAAAGGAGGTGGAGAAGAAAGGGAGCATTGGACCAAGATTGGGCAGGGTCACAAGCTGGTGGCCAGGGGCTCATGGGCCTATTTTTTTTTTTTTTTTGGTCCCACGTCCCACCATCCATGCTGCCTCGTGCCCTTCCGGAGTTGCAAGGTTACCCCGCCTGCCTGACCTAGGAAGCAATTAGTTCAGGGCCCTTAAGATTGTGATCTGTGTTTCCCAGGCCTGTGGGCATCGGAGGGTCCCAATGACTCTGCTTGGTGACTCCTGAATATTGTCACAGCCAGGCCTGGAGTCTGATCCCCAGCAGAAAGAATAAAGAAGAGTGAAGGGACATCTCATGATACTGGAGCCCTAGACCCTGGGAGTCAGAGCTGGGCCTATGTCCAGGCCCTGTCAGGACTCAGGGTGTGGCCTTGGACAAGTTCTAATCCACCCCCTGGGAGCCTCGGGGTACAGCTAGAAAGGAGTCTGGATGAGTCAGAGGGTTGGTGTGAAGCTGGGCAGACTTTTGGGTTGGTTTCGGTGTTAATGAGAATCTAGTTGGACCATCAACACCACCCACACCCAGGCTTCTCCATCAGGCCAGACTCTGGCTTCCTGTTCTTTCTTCCCTCCTTGGGGGTTGAAGGGTGTCTCTAAGCCACACTCTCCCACGACAGGAGCACCATTCTATTGAGAGAGAATGAGGCCCAGGGATATCTAAGAATTCACTTCACCTCTCTCTTGCCCTGCGAGCCCCAAAACTCCAACTTCCCATCTGTAAAATGAGCACGGTGATTGTCCCAGTGGATGGTCAAAGATTGCAAAGCACCATGGGAACATCGGTTATGAAAGGGCCAACCCTAACTAAGGCGCCTTGGCAAAGGGATGTTGGGTTTGATATGTCATCAAATTTTTCTAGGGTGGAGTTAGACTAAGGTAAAAAAAAAAAAAAGTTCATAAAATCCACCATGTCCTTTTCAGAAAGCCAGAGCTAGACCGTGGAGCTGAAGGCCCACAGAGGAGCGCGCAGGCCTCTTGCCACCAAGCTCTGGCCTTGTGTTTTCCATTCAGAATTCTCTGGTGTCAGTGACTGTGTCCTTTGGAACCCTCCTCTCCCGGCTCCCGGGCAGCTCCGCAGAGCCGGGGGAACTCAGCGGGGGAGAGCAGCGATGAGTGTAAGAACATGTGTGCAGCGTGTGCTCTTGTGCTTCTGCCCGGCAGCCCCATCATCAAGTGGCTGTCTAGTAAGTACAATGCATCTGAGGACCAGCAGAGCCTCAGGGGAGAGAGGGAAGGCGTGGAGGGAGCGCACCAAAGGGCTGAGGAAGAACAGGATGGGTAGAGGGGTGCTGGTGGGGCCAGGTGGGCTTTGCGGAGAGAGGATGGTTGTGCCTTAGGCAGCCAGTTCTGGGAAGGCTGACCTCCTACCAACAGCCTGAGACCACAGGAGAGACCAGGATCTGAAGGTGCAAGAGTCCAAGAGGTCTGTGCAGCAGACTCCCGGCCCCACCACTTCCTGATATACTTTCTTCTACCTTGCCTGGCAGGTGGAGGCTGCAACTGTTTAACCAGCAGATTCCAGGGGAGAGGGTGTGCCTGCAGTGAGCTCATGGGCTCCACCTCCATCCTGGGAGACTAGCTTCCTCAGCAGTTCTAACAGCCCTGGGACACTCCCTGTGGGGCAGTGGGCTGAGAACCATCTACTGCCCTCACCATCCACTTCCCTCCCCAGGGATGGGAGGATCACCATGTGCCAGGGTTCAGGGGCCAAGTCCCAGCCCCCTCTGCCAGTCACTGCCTGGGGACTGCACTTTGCTGAGCCTCAGTTTCTTATCTGTCCCACCACCTTGCAGGGATATTGGGGGCCAAAACGCCTGGTAGTGGCCTAAGGAGGTCTGCTCTCTCTCCCTGCATGCCCCGGGCTTCCCCCAGTTGGGCCTCAGTTTCCCTTGAGGGGAGTTGGACTAGGTCTTCCTCAAGACTGATTTCCACCCTCTGGGTGTTCTTATTTCCCACGTGGTCTGAATGTTAGTGGGACTCAGGTGCCCACCTCTGTCTGCTTTCTCAGTAGTGGAGGGCCTGTCCCAACTCCCTGTGAGAGAAGAAGTTAGGAGAGAGCTGTCAGATGACCCTGCAGTCCCAAGGCAACCGAGGCTCAGAGAGGTGAAGGGTCTTGTCAGAGGTCCCACAGCAAGGCAGAGGTACGGCCAGGACAAGACCTCCCAGGGCCAATCACCTCAAGTGCGGGCTCTCTCTGCCCCAGCTCTCTGCCAACCTGGTGACATGCAGACATCGGGGACCCTGTCACATGTAATGGCAAAGTCCACTGTCATTGCTATAATTCAGCCCAGATTTGGACAGAGCTTCCACCTGGCTGTTCTGAGTTGGCAAGAGAGGCTATGCAAGGAATCGAGGCCCTAGGCAAAGATATGGTGGTTCCTGGCAACCCCACCTCAAAACCATTCCCAGTTCACCCACCAGTTCCTCACTTCCTGTCCTGTCCCTCTCTCAGGGGGCCTTCCTCTGTCTCCCAAAACCCTCCCAACTGGCTTTTACTGACCACTCCGGCCCACAGTGAGTTCTACAAGTCCCTCTCCAAGCTCCTGTAGCCCTTGGCCATGGCCCTGACCATGATGGCCCCTCATGTCAACAGGCAGACACCCACTGTTTGAAGTTGGGCACCTGCCCCACCTGGCACCTCCATTCCCAGCGGCATGCGAGGCTCCACCAGGATCAGAGAGCTGCTCAGGAAGTTCTGGAGATGCTGCAGGTGCGTGTGGTCTTCAGTGCAGGCAAAGTCCTTTTTGTTAACCACTGTCTACATGGCAGAACAGAATCCACTCACGGGGGTCCTGGAGGGGGAGGGCAGTGTCCGTGGTGGGTGTCCAAAGTGACCGGAGCCTGGGAATGCCTCCGAAAACACATCCCAGTTCAGCTCAGCGGTTCCCGGGGCTGGCGGGTCAGGAGGACCTCAGGCCCCGCCTTGGACCATGATCTCCTGGGTCCCATCCAGCCGCAATGTTCCAAGTCCACAATGCAATCAGCACCTGGGACATCTTACTTTAGAACAGTAGTTGGCGGTTCTTTGAGTCATTTGATATATGGGAAAGAGCTGTTTGCACCGCATTGGGCCCAGGGAAGTGGAGGCAGGAAGCCAGGGCATCTCCCCAAAGTGTGTTTTTCTTGGGGAAGAGTCTCAGCAGGCGGGGGCTTGGAGCAATAACCAGGTTAGTGAGACACCTAGTCAACACGCTAAAGAAGTAGCAACGAGCAGGAGGCCGGGGCCGAGTCGGGCATCCTCAGTCCCATGGACAGCTCCCCACGGCGGGGGCACCGGGGCAGAGGGGATGCTCTGCCCTCAGGTCTGTGATGCGCTGGGAGTGCTCAATGCATAAAGGCTGGCAGTCTGCTCCGTTGGACCTTTGGGCCCACGAGAGAAGCAAGAAGGTATTTACACAGGTGCTGTTGAAACGACCACAGCAAGCTCTTCTTCCCAGGCCTGGGCCTGAAGACGGGCAGACGGTCAGACAGCCGGGGGACTGGCAGGCGGGGCTGGGGCTGCAGTTACCGGCGGCACAGTCTGTTGGTTTGTGGAGACCCCGTCACCGCTGGGAGAAGCTCATTGATTGACTCTTAGAAACGGACAGGTGTCCAGAAGTCCAGCAGCCGTACCATAGAACCCCAGAGTCCCTGACAGGAAAGGGGGGGCAGAGTTTCAAGTGAGGGGGGAGGGTGCTGGGGGACGCTCTCGTCGGGCCCCTCCGGCTGTCTTTGAAGGGGCTGGGAGGCTATCACCCTCAGTGGTATGTGTCATCAGTGCTGGCGTCCGCCTGGCTCCGAGGGTCAGTGACGGTCGTAGGCAGTGGCGGCTGCAGGTGGGGCAGCTCCTCGGGCAGCGGCGCTGTAATAGTAGGGGGAGCCTGGAAGAGAGAGAAGACGGCATGGGGGTTGGAGGGCGACGTTGTGCCTGCAGCCCCCTACCTAAGGCACATGCTCACAGCAAGGAAGGGGCTCGGAGCTCTGAGCAAAGAGCTCTGGGGAACGCACGGTTGTTCTGGCAGGGCCGGGCTTCCTGGAGGAAGCGGGTCAGGCTGGGCTTGGGGGACGGGACGAGAAGACTTGGACGTGGGGAGACTGGGTGTGTGAGTGCGTGGAGCAGAGCGGGTAGCAGCCTGCTCCTGGGACCCGCAGACAGGGCTCCTTCCACCTCCCTGGGCGGCTTTATTTGACTACATGCTTTGGTTGCGGCCTCCAGGAGCCCCGCTTTGTGTTCAAATTCCTTCCCAGGGATGAAAGAGCGCCAGGGGCTCTGGGAGACCAGCAGAGTCTTAGAACTGCTGAGGTTAGAGATGCTAGGCCATCTCCTCTTTCTACAGGTAGGGAAACTGAGGCTCAACAAACCTAAGTCATGTGCCCAAAGCCACAGAGCCTCTCAGTGCCAGAGCCCGGTCTGGAACTCAGGTGTCTCCCCCTGGCTCAGGACTGCTGCCCCACAAGGCAGTTCACGGCCTGCTCCCCCTGCGCCGGAGGATGTGTTTGTCCAGGTGGACGGCAGCGGGGGCCCTGTGAGTCGTCCTGGCCCACGTGTCTGGTGGGGTGGGAACAGTAAGCTTCTTCATTCCCCAGGGGAGGTGACAGGTATGGATTCTGAAATCTCACCCAAATCCAAACCAATCCTGGCAATTCTCCCCAATAGCATGACAGCACCAATGCCTGGGGATTGCCAGCCAGGCTCCGCCACTCTTGGCTGAGTGACCTTGAACAAGTGGCTTCACTCCTCTGAGCCTCAGTTTGCCTCATCTGTAAAACGGGTTCACAGTAGCGCTGCCTGAGGGCACCATGACGTAAGGATATAAAAGTGCTTTTCTAAGCCCTTTATATGCACGAACTCTTAACTTTCCACAACAAGCCTATCAGGTAGGAACTAGTAGTGTCCCATGCAGCAGAGGAGGAAACAGGGGCAGAGAGAGTAAGCAGCTTGCCCAAGGCCATACAGCTCGTGGCACTTTAGCACCTGCCACCGCACCTCCAAGCCCAGCCCGGAGGAGCAGATACCCTACCCCTCACTGGGCCCCAGGAAGGCAGCAGTGACAGGGGCGGAGCGGCAGCGCCTTGCTGAGCTGTTCCCGATGAAGGCAAGGCCGCCAGCCCTGTGCCTACGTATTCCCGGAGATGGAGAATGCCGCTTCCTCCGTCACCTCCCTGGTCAGAGCCCTCACTCAGAGACAGCTGTCAGCCTCCCCTGCTCTCTCATCTTCTCTTTTCTGTGGGCTGGGGGCTGTTAGGACATGTGTGCCGTCCCTGCAGGCCTGGGCATGGCCCAGGAGCAGGAAAACCGCAGGGGCTGCCCCCACAAACGGGCCTCGGGGGACAAGAAATGGAAGTAAGCCTGCGCAGAGGACCCTGGCTCAGCCCTCTGAGCCCCCCACCCACCTGCCACCTCCTGCCCTCGGCTCTGACTCACTCCCCTCTCAAAGCCTAATCTCCTGGCTGCGCTGTCCAGTGGCCTCAGCTCGAGGGTTCCACGGCAGATCAAAATCGCTTGCCTTTACCGTGAACAATGAAAACATCGCCTCACAAAGCACTCTGTCTTCCTGGTGCCCATTAGACCGTCGTCTAAAATAAACTTGTCCTTTCTCTTGTCATTTTTCCTCTCTAATTCACATTATCATCAATTTACTTCCTGACAGTCATTCCCGGCTCCCACTCACGCTCTAATCCCTTTAAAGCGGCCACAGGCACTCCCATCTTAATCCTAATCGACCACTGCTGCCTTTCTTCCCACCTCCTGCCCTGTCTGCCCCCGCCAACCCCTTCGCCTCCCCCCACCCCCCCCCCCTAGTTCTAGTCCGCTCGGGGCCCCATGGTGCTGGGCGGGCAGCTCCTGGGGAGGAGGCCCAGCGGGGAGGGGAGTTTCCTGAGAAGTGCAGCTTCATTGGGTGGCACTGCTCATCCTTTCTCTGCTGGTGGTTCTGTGGAGGAGGCTTCACCCGGCCAGCCGAGGGTGGCAGGGGCGTGAGGGCGTGAGCACCGGGAGTGTGTACGTGGAGGGTCTCACCTGTTTCCACAGCTTCTACTGATCTAGCCGGAGCCTCAGAGCAGGTTCCCACACCTGCACCCTCCCCAGACTGCAGACATCAGGCTACTTCCCCTGCTCCGTGGGACTCTTCCAGATGAGCCTGGAGACACCGTGGGAAAGCCAGGCTGGTGGGTGTGAGGGGCCGGGGGCTTCTGTGCCAGACTACGGTAGAGTGAGCCTGGCAGCCCGCTCATCTTCAGGACAGTGAGCTGTGGTTTTTAGCTCCTTTCTGAACAAAGCTGCCGGTGTGATTACCCTCATTTCACACCGAGGCCCCGATTGCTTGGTGACCTGGCCATGATGCCCCAGGTTATAGACTTGGGCAGCACAGGGACCATTTCTCATGTTTCTAACTGCCCAGCACGGTTTAAACTGTTTCTGTTTTGCCTGTAGCATGAGGCCCGCCTCTTTGGGTTGGAAGTCAGAACTCACCCTCCCAGCCGCCCTTGCTGCTAGCGCACAGGTGTGTCACCTGTCAGACGGGCTCTCTCGCCTGTGACCTGGATTGGGCAGGAGCAACTGGAGGAAACGGGCTGAGAGACTCCAAGCTGGGAGTGGGTGGCAGAGGCTCCGGGCTCCAGGCAGTTGGCAGGACAGAGCTCTCAAGCACCCTGGCTGAGCAGCAGGGCAGAGCGGGCAGATTGGGGTGCCAACTGGCAGCAGCAGGAGTGTTGACGCTAGAGCAGCCCTGGTGGTGTGGCTAGGTGTGGTCCCTGGCTGTGCGTCCCACGCCTGTGTCATGGGTCCCCCCAAATCCCTTAGCAGATTTGTTTTCTGCTTAAACCAGCCAAGGTGGCTTCTGTTGTTTGCAACCGAAAGCCTGACGGGTAAATACAATAACCTGGTTTTCAAAAAATAGGCCAGAGCTGTTCTCATCACATACAGGGTCTGAGTGTTTAGGATTCTCAAGGCTCCTTCCTGTGGAGAGATGAGGCCCCTCTCCCTGGCTATGGTCCTGTTCAGACTGAACGGGTCAGGGAGAGGACCACGTCGCACATGGGGTATGACTATGAGTCAGGGTGACTGAGCTGGGTCCGCATCCTGCCGTCTGCTTGCTGTGTGACCTCCGCCGTACTCACCGAGCAGCCCCGGGTTGGGGAACCTCCAGGAGTCGTTGTAGGAGGGGTACTGAGGGTGGCTGTAGGGGCTCCCGGAAAACTCACTCCCTGCATGAGATGGGTGGGAGAGAAACAGGAAGCAAACGTCAAAGCAAGCTCGGAAAAGGCCAACGGCATTTGCCTCTTACATAAACTGCAGGTGCTTTCATTACCAACCAAGTCAAGTCCAGTGCACACCCTTCTTAAGTGGACAGCGGTCATTGGCATCATCTAGATTTCCCCCGTTTCTATTAGTGCAGTGGTTCTCAACCTTCTGGCCCTTTAAAACAGTTCCTCATGTTGTGACCCAACCATAAAATTATTTTCGTTGCTACTTCGTAACTGTAATGTTGCTACTGTTATGAACCGTAATGTAAATATCTGATATGCAGGATGGTCTTTGGTGACCCCTGTGAAAGGGTCGTTCGACCGCCAAAGGGGTCTCGACTCACAGGTTGAGAACCGCTGTATTAGTGGAAGGGAATACCAGCCTCTCACATGTGTGCCGTGAAACTGACGTGCCAGGTGTTCCCTGAGGTGCCTGGCCCACTTTGCAGGTCAGGAGACTGATGCCTAGGTTCTCTCACAAAATGGCCTCAGCACACCCACCAAGTCCTAAGCCTGGTTCTCAGCCACTCCAGGACCCCCGTGTGGATTTAGTTCCACTTCCCACGTGTTTTCCGCGTTGCTCCGCACCGCGAAGGCAAAGGTAACCTCAACTCTCGTCTGGCCTTGCCAGCTGAGAATCCAGAGGTGGCTGCACCCCGGCCTCGGCCAACGGGGAAGACGAGACGTGAAGTCAAGCCCTCCGCCAGGAGGAGGCAGAGGGCACTTTGCTGAGATGGAGAGACAAGCCAGAGTCTAGAGGAGCGCAGAAGAGGCAGTGGGCGGGCCTCCGGGCACTGGGTAGGGGTAGCTGTTTGCTGCTCTGGGCATGCTCAGGCAGGTGGACACCATGGGGAGTGTGAGGAGGCAGGTGGGGCTTGAGGATGTTCCTCTCGCCCAGCTGCCCACGGAGCAGTGGTCTTGTGTCTGCAGCCCCAGGAGAGCCTCCTCGCCAGGCGTCACGAGGAGGGGAGTTCAAAACTCCTTCCCTTACAACCTTGCCGCCTGTCTGCCCTGCGGCTGGGAGCTCCCGGCGGGGGGCAGTGGGAGGCCGGGTTTGGGCCTTACTCATTGCAGAGTCTCCCAGTGCCTGGCCCACGTAGTGTCAGAAGCTGGCTGCTGAGTGGCCTTTTATGCCACTGGTTACAGAGCACGTGGGCCCTTCCCTGGCAGTGGTGACAGGAGTTACACAGCCCACGGGACCACCCTCAGCCCAAACAAGCTCCCACGGATTCTTCTTAAGGGTGCCAACGAGCCAAAGGGCAGGAGCCCTCAGCAGGGACCAGCCAGATGTCAGAGCGGGAGCACTGCTCTGCCCCTGGCAGCCGAGGCCCAAATGCAGGGCCCGCGGGACTTGGTCAGGTGCGGCCAGAACAATAAAGCAGGCCTGAGGGGCCCGCTGCTCCCACCCAAGCCCAGCCGGCTTCCTCTCCACCTCCCCACTTCCACAGGCAACCACAGGCATGCGAGCACGCACACACACACACACACACAGACACACACGCACGCACACACCACGTGCACTCCTCCCCAGACCTCTCTGGGGGCCACTCCCAGCCTGACAGGCTGAGCCTTCCAATTCTCTGTTTTTTATGCCTCAGTGGTCAGGGTGTCAGGTTCCGGCGTACTGAGGGAGAGCATGGTGACAGTGCCGGGCTGCAGCCGCCCAGCCTCGGCATATCCATCAGCTCCACAGCGCCTCCCCCTCCTCCTCCTCGGGGGCCCGGAGGGGGAGCAGAGAGACCGAGCAGCCTGGAGAAGGGGGACAACTGCTCGCTCCTCCAGGCTCTGGGCGCCCATGAAGCTGCCCCATCAGAGGCACTTCCTGACAGCGCCGCACCTGGGCCCAGGGCACCGACCACACGGCACGGGCCAGCCCTCCATCTTCATCTGACAGCATCGCGCCCGTCTGCCAGGCCCACCGACCCACCACCCCGTTACCCTCAGGCAGAGCCCCTCTGACCCCCCACCCCTTTACCCTCTAGGAGCTGGAGATGGGGGCCCCTAGAGGTGCAGCTGACCCAAGACAACGATCACACCATAAACACCACCTCTGATGACTGCCCCGCTCAGAGAACACCCTGGCCCTTCACCTCTTCCCACCGAGTCACCTGTACTGGGGGCTGAACCCTCCTCCTCCCGCCGCCCTGACATCTAGTAAAACCCGCTGCCCACCGAACGCCTTGCACAGCCGGGTTGGTGTTTTTCGCACATGGAAGGCAAGGGGAGAGGCCAAGCGCCACGGTGGGTGGTCAGTGGGTGGAGATGAAAGAATGTCCAAGAGCAGCACAGACCAGAGCCCAGGAATTCCACGGCGTCAGGCACCATGAGACAGAGCTGAGCAGCCAGTGAGCCAGTTTCCCCTGGAAGTGCCCTAGAAACCCTGGCAGGACATGGGACTCTCCCCCGAAGCGGGAGTGAGGGTTTGAGTCAAGCACGTCTTGTTGTCCAGGTGCCAGGACAACCAGCCCACGTTGTTGGTACCTTTGCCCTGAGTAAAGGGGTGGGTTGGAGGGGCACTAAGTGAGGGTAAGGGGTGGTGGGTCGGAGAGGCACTGAGTGAGGGTAAGGGGTGGTGGGTCGGAGGGGCACGGAGTGAGGGTAAGGGGTGGTGGGTCAGAGGGGCACTGAGTGAGGGTAAGGGGTGGTGGGGCGGAGGGGCACTGCATGAGTAAAAGCAGGAGGTGGGACTAGGCAGATGGTACAAGATGGAACCCCAGGACACTTGGGACTGACTCCCCATCTTCAGCTGCCTCCACAGGACCAAGAACAGAGTGTTGGTCCCCTCACAGGCTCATGGCCAGGATCACACCCACAGGAGTGCTCTATCCCCCACTCCTGCCCACAGCTGCCTACCCTGCAGGAGATGCAGAAAATGGCTCCAAACAGAGACGAGCTGGTTGTAAAAGCCATGCCCCGGCCGGTGTGGCTCAGTGGCTTGAGCGTCGACCCTGCGCCGAAAGGTCACTGTTTCGATTCCCAGTCCAGGCACATGCCCAGGTTTCAGGGGGGTGTGCCGGAGGCAATGATTGATGTTTCTCTCTCTCTCGCTCTCTCTCTCTCTCTTTCCTTCCTCTCTCTCAAAAATCAATAAAAACACATAAACAACTCAACGAGGTAACTAGAAAGGACTGATTACAATGAAAGCGGATAGGGGGCCACGAAGGAGGCACGTGATGTAGCTGTCCTGGAGGACACGGGCAGGAAAGTCATCAGCGTCAGAGACGTTCCCGGTTTCCCCTTCACCAAAGGCTCGGAGATGGCAGGAAAGCCGCAGATTCCTAAACCCTCAGAAGTGACAGGTAACCCGGCACAGCGTAGCTCTTAATTAACCCAAAACGACACCTGCCAGATGATGGGGATTTGCAGAGCACGCTGGGGGCCGACCCCGTCCGCAGATGGTGGGCGCCCACCTCTGCTCGAGACCTTGCCCGGCTGTAATTAACATACGGAAAGTCTTTCAAAGTGACTTCACAGCCAAGTCCTCTTTCTGCAGGGTGGACACTGGGCTTTGAGAGAAACTGTTTGCAAAGAAGGAGGAGGAGGAGGAAGAAGAGATTTGAAAAGGACCGTGAGATCTCTCCAGCCCCTCCCGTGGTTTGTAGAACTGCGTGATGTGCCGTGGCTCGGGGTCCGTGGGTAACCGGTGTGCTGCCATCTATGGCTGCAGGGACCACCGTGCCCACGCCGGCAGAGCCCGCCTTTCAAATATGAATGTTGCATATACAGTGGGGCCTTGACTTACCAGTGTCCCGACTAACGAGTTTTTTGAGATACCAGCTGTCTCTCGCCAATTTTTTGCATTGAGTTGATAGAGTAATTTGAGTTAACGAGCTCCTTAACGAGCTCGGTCTCAGAACGAATTAAACTCGTAAGTCAAGGCCCCACTGTGTGTGTGTGTGTGTATATATATATATTATATATATAATAGTGTATATATGCTACTACATTATGTGTATATATAATAATTTGTATCACACATGCATATACTTATATACTCATGTATACAGGGCGGGGCAAAAGTAGGTTTACAGTTGTTCAGATGGAGAATAACACAAGAATTAATAACTAATGATACAGGAATCAACTGTTTCACATACAACTGTAAACCTACTTTTGCCCCACCCTGTATATGGATATGCGTACACACCACACACACACACACACACACACACACACACACACACACACACTCTGGACTCTGGGGCTCTGTCAAAGCTCTCTGCGTGACCTTGATCAAGTCCCTTCTCACCGAGCCTCAGTTTTCCCATCTGTAAAAGCGGTGTATATGGGAGAGATTTAAATAATTGACCTCAAAGTGCTTTCAGCGCTAAGATTCTCCCCTGTTCTGTCTGCACTGCACCCAGCCCAAGCCCGGCCCCTTGGAGGCCAAGGCTCCCCAACCTCCCTGTCTCCAGAGCAAGGCCTTCCAGGCTCCCAGCAGGGAACGCAGAACCAGAGCGAACCCAGTAAAGGTCAGGCCTGTCAGCGCGGCTGCCCGCACACAGAGCATCGATCCGTCCCTGGGAAAAACCTCTTCTCCCACCAGCTCGGGCCAGCCTCGAAGGCCTTCAGAAAAACACAGGGAAGAGAAAAACCGCGAGAGAGGGCGAGAGTGAGGGGAGAATGCAGAATGTGTCTCGTGCCTGTCTCTCCGGGAGAGCCGCGGACTTTGCAGTTGGGCGGCGGTGCTGGGCGGCCACAGCGAGACTCGGCTGGAGCCCAGGCCGAGCCCAGCTCTGCTCTGACCAGCCATGGGGCGGCGGGATGACGGTTCTGGGCCTCAAGGTGGTCCTCTGGCGAGCGGAGGCTGTTGTGCCTTCAGCCCACTTGCTGCTGCCTGCACTACAAAGACCTGAATGCAAGGACCCGTCAGGGAACCCAGGGAAACCACCTCACTGTCATTGTACAGCGCCCTGCCGCACACCCGGCAAGGACCAAGCCTGTGAGTACTGCCTGAAGCC